GGGGGGGGGGGGCAATTGCCCCGTTGCCCCCCCCTGGATCCGCCACTGGGCTGATGGGGCTGTCCATATCTTAATAATAAAATAAAAGCCTTGTACTGGGAGAAATCTGTTGGTTGCAGATGATGGTCTCCTGAAAATGCTAGTTACTTGGCTATCTTTGTCTTCTGAGTCCCTTAACTGGAAAAAGCCCACAGGTCACCATTAAAGTCCGAATGAAGCATCAGCTTGTCAGCTAAGCAACCAGCATTTTCAGAAGAAGAGCGGATTTACAAAGGCTGAAATGAATTTACAAGCTAACAACACACGTGACGAGTGCCAGCCCCTTACAAAAATATTTTCTTCACACCTCACCCCAGTAGTGCGTTTCATTGTGCATACTAAGACCAGCTATCCTTCATAACTTCACAACTTGCTAATGATAACATTTAGCAATAACTTTTACATTAACTAATGCCTCCCTAAACTTCTTGTTCTAAATTGTCTGACTTGTTTGTTTTTTTAAATCCTTGGATTTGTCTATGTCTACTTCAACATGTAAAATCAAGGTTCATGGCTAGACTTCAGGGCTTAAATATGCAAAGTCTAAGGTCAAGAACTGGGAGTGTAAGCTTCATGTGAAATAATTGTGTAAAGGTAAAATGAAGTCTATAAACATCTTGTTGTAGTTAATAGTACATGATCTGCCTGTTGGATGGTTTGGGATAAAATTTTGATTGTCCCAGAAATACACATTGATTACTTTTATGTTGTTCTCTTTTGCAGCTGCACCATACTGGATCACTGAGCCTAGGAATCTTGTACTGTCACCAGGAGAGGATGGCACATTGATTTGTAGAGCTAACGGAAATCCTCCTCCTGCTCTTACATGGCTAATAAATGGAGTGGCAATTGAATGTATGTAATGCAGAACTCTGGTTTTATACATGCCCTGTAACACAAGAGAATAGATGTGGTTACATTTACATTATTGCATTATTCCAGGGTTCAAGATATACTGTGCTAAAACTCATTACTGAATCATACCACTTGTAATTAATTTGTAGCTGATTTCTGACCCTGATTGAGAGGATCAGGGCAACCTACCAACATTACTGCCCTATACGAATATTTGATAGATATAAAGATATGTTTGTGGTAGGTTGCTTTAATCAATTTGATTTTGTTCAAAAGCTGCATCTGCATTGGAACTGCACTGGCCGTTGTTTCCAGCACAACTCCAACGCAGGACAAGGCAATATGCCTTGTCACGGATTGTTCCCATTCACACCACCGCATTGTGGTAGGAACACAGTGGCATGCTTTACTTTTTTTTATGCAACAGGATGTGACGCGGTACAACTGCCTTGCACTCTGCTGTGCATGTAGTACCTAGTGAAATGTCACTTGTGTTCTAGTTCTAACAAAAAAAAAGTGCAACGTACATGGTATCAGCACTTCAGTACTGTGACGGCTACCACACACCAGACGATGTGTGATTAGTGCAGCATCTGGTGTGAATTGGCCCTTAAAGTGGCTGCATCTTTTGAATAACTATCTTGTGTATGGCATGCATGCAGTACTTGTTTTTTTACTTTATTATTTGCCCTACAAAATTAAGTCTTCTAAACATTGTAATTGCCAGTAAATATTTGTTTTTCTTTGAAACAGAACCTACCTTTTTAGCCCACAGTCACCTTGAAGAGTGGCACTGCAAATTGATGAATTGTTCTTATGTGTCTCACAGTTACAGAATTAACTGAGCATAGTACCGTTAATGGACCATATTGGAAATCATAGAAAAAGTATGAGTCACAAGGCTCCTTCTTCAGTCTCAGACATTTGCATTTGCTAAGCTTGTGAATGTTACGGTTTTGTTTTTACATCGTTGAGTAGGCAAATGTCTTTGCACCTTCTGTCTTTTAAAATAATTGAAAATATATATTTTTTGTGACATTAAAAAAACTGATCCTAATACACCTAACGTGTCAAATGTTTTTTCAGTGGCTCCTCAAGACCCGAGCAGACGAGTAGAAGGTGATACAGTGATGTTCTCAAAAGTGCAAGAACGAGCCAGTGCAGTCTACCAGTGTAATGCTTCTAACATTTATGGCTACCAGTTGGCAAATGCATTTGTAAATGTTCTAGGTAAGACAAGTCATTGTTATTCTATTTTCGTTAGATAGTAACATTAATACTATACTATTTTATTCTATTTCTTATCAGCAAAATGTGCTTCTTGTTTCAGCGGAGAAGCCTCGGATCCTTTCATCACAGAAGGTTTATCAAGTCATTGCTGATAGAGCTGCCTTTCTTGACTGTCCATATTTTGGGTCACCAATTCCTCGTATAGAATGGTAAGACTAAAGGCACTGTCGTCTCTTAAAATGTTAAATTGTATGCAACACTCATACTGCACAAAGAATTTGAAACCTAAATTCAAACAAAACATTTTCTTTTTTTAGATACAGTGATGAAGGTTAAAACACACTGTTAGGTTTTTATCATTGTCTGTGTGCCATTAAGTAGATTGCCCCTTAATTCCTGTCACGATAAAAGCGCATCGGACAGAGCCAGTATTAATGGAAAATATCTTAAATGGGCACACAGACATTACCAAAAGCACTTATTCTAGTAGAGTGGGGAAGGGTTAGAAACGCTATTAAGTTTTTATTGCCATCTGTGTCTCCTTGAGTCATTGAGAATCGGGCCCTAAATGCCTTAGGGGCATATTTTTAAGCAATGATTGTGACTTTCACTAGACATTCATTGGTGGTGAATTAATCACTGTCATTTAAAGCACATGAACCTGGAACATTTGCTTGCAGTGAATGTTTGGTGAATGTCATATTCACTGCTTTATAAACATGCTCCTTAGGGATAGGGACAGAAAGTAACAGAAATGTCCCCAGTAAAAAATCTTGATCGCTGCTTTAACCATTCTTCGCTATTCAAAACTAGAAAAGATGGGATTTAAAGCGATCCTAAGCTAATATTTTGCAAATGCCATAAGTAACCTAGTGCAAAATGCATATTGTGCACTGCATCAAAAAACAAAAATGCTTTTGCATGTTAACTTACAAGTTAAAGCACATTGCGTTAAGGCAGTAGTAAGGCGACGCTGAATAGACTCATAATGTTTCATACTCCAGTAATTGTTCTGTTGCCAATTTATCATAATCATTTTTGTGGTTTAGATTTGCTTTTTTAATTCTATTCCTTGGGCAGATTATTGAATGGTGAACTAAATAATTCACTGATCTACATGTCTGTTCCAGATCAGAGACACAGAAAGCACTGAAACCAGAGTCAACTAGGCAGCTAACATTTTCAGCATTGGTTGGCAGTGGCTGCCTCTTTTTTTACAGGTTTACTTATAGATACATACTCATTTACAGTCCAGTAAGTACTGATATTTCTCTCTTGTAATCTTCCTCATTTCTAATTCATTTATTCTCTGTTGCAGGTTTAAAGGCATGCAAGCCAGTGTTCTGCATGGCAACGGGTATATTTTCCATGATAATGGGACACTAGAAGTGCCTGTTGCCCAGAAAGACAGCAGTGGGACCTACACATGTGTAGCCAGAAATAAATTAGGAACAGACCAAAAAACTATCGAGCTTGAAGTCAAAGGTAATGAAAGATTCATAGGTTAAACACATCAAATTGGAGGCTCAGGATATGTTTAGGGAAACACATGTATAATTTATGCTGTTTTGCTTTTCAGAGCCAACAATGATTATCTCTCAACCTGAATACAAGGTGATTCAGAGATATAGTAGAGCATCCTTTGAATGCAAAGTTAAGCACGATCCTACTATAGTAGCGGAAGTGCTGTGGTTGAAAGACAACAACGACCTGCCCATTGATGAAAGGTAGTACAATATTTTGTAGTAATTCCATAATATCTGTGCAATGTGAGATAAATGGTCAGAGGACTTAATAGAGAAGAGAATAACAATTAAACATTCATTTCATTTAATTTTTTACTGTTACTCAAAGGATAATTGCACTTTCAAACAAAGTCCACTTATTTTTTTGCACCACCAACAAAAACCTATCCCCTACCATTTCTATTCTCATGATATTATATATACACTGTGGATAGATAGATAGATAGATAGATAGATAGATAGATAGATAGATAGATATTAACTATTGAACAAGGATTACAGGGTACCTGAATTTCTGAATCTCCTTAAAGCTTATTCTGCTTATATTCGTTCCTCTCCTGCCCCCATTTTTACTTAAAGCCTTTCTGTTTTATTATATACATTATTTTGGACCAAGGACATAATTTGTGAGGTTTTTGTGCTTAATTAAGGCAGATCAAGGCTGGTGTTAGGGACCAGCAAGGTGCTGTACATAGCTTCCCAAAACATCACATCACATTGCCTTTGTACTTCTCTCAACTGCCCTCAGTCCTGAGAGGTGTTAAAACAAATATTAAAATGCCTTGTCCAGTGAATGTGAGTCTGGAGGAGTGGTCATTTCTAGGGAGTTTGCATTTGCAAGCAGACTACCCTATGCAACACCCATATTTGATTGTGAGCCTCCATGATTAAAAGAACTGAAATTTAGAGAATTAATAGAGTGGGCCAGGGACAGTCAGGCTGGGAAGTACAGAGCTAGATGCACATCCTCCAGCCAGGAAATGAGGCAGGCTCATATTTCTAATTTGCTGTAGCTTCTAATGCACGCTGTAAGAAGCTCTCCGTGTGGAAATCAAACTAAGCATTTTCAGTACATGAGAGGATCCTGTACAACTGTGCAAGACTGACGGTAAGACTAACGTTTAGGTCTAAGTAATCAAATGCATTCATACTCCTCGAAGATGTATTTACATCTTCTATAAATTTCACATTGATTCTGTAGAAACTATAGTCTACAAACAGGGGTTTATTTATTAAACATACAAAAGACCATGGAAACCAATCAGAATTAATCTTTTTCCTTCTATGACAGCCTTTCACGTTAGCCTTATACTTTACAGATTTGTTATCGAAAAGGAACGTCTGACTATCAAGAACGTAACAGACAAGGATGAAGGCACTTACACTTGTGTAGCAAACACTACCTTGGACAGCGCCTCAGCCAGCGCAGTGCTCACTGTTGTTGGTAAGACTTAACTTGTGTTTTCTATTGTGTTTTTAGTTTGTCTTTACTATAATTAATCTGCCCCAGTATTATAAAGTACATTTTAAATGATTATTGTTGTATATGTATTAAATAATCCATACCGACAGCTGATTAAAATAAATAGATAGATAGATAGATAGATAGATAGATAGATAGATAGATAGATAGATAGATAGATGTTTTTGGTGTATGGTGTCATTGCAAAGCAAGTATTTTCTTGATTATTCAGGCAATAGAGATAAGTTATTGTTAATAAGTAGATTCGGTTTTCAAGTATACTTAGGTTAAGTACGTTCAAGGGTTAGGTATAGAAGATAATATTAGACAATAATCTACTCTGTAAATGTGTAACTTTTTTTACATTGTATATTTTCATGTATATACTGTTTACAGGGCTTACCTTTGTCTTATCTGTTGAATGGAGGAAACATTCTTAACAAAGAATGGCTGTTATTGTGTTATGACTGTTATTTCTATAGTTGTCACCCATCAAATTATAATGTTTTAACCTTGATAACAAAAGGCAGATATCATGACTATGATGTTAGTTTCCTGAGGACAATAGGCAGTGATAACTTAAAGCCCAACTCCAGGAATAATAATCTTACTGGATTCAGTAGTTCAACAGTGCCTTTGCTGTAAAGTCACCTTCCATAATCAGAAATGTTTCCTAAATTGACAGATTGCGCCTTCACACTGTGAAAGACTTTGCTTCATTGCTGTATAAACTGCTTTGCTTGATTGTACTGATAATTACTTTATCACTAATGTAGATTGGGTGGAAATGTGCACATTTTTGTTGATCTTTAATAAAGAATTTAAAAAAAAAGGTTTCCTTTCCCCTCAAATAATCAGGTTTACATGCGGGTGGGAGTCCAGCTTCTACTGCACTTCCATACCCAGCTGTAGCACTGCAGGTCTCATAGGCCTTGGCACTGTGGTTGCATCTCTGTCCCCCCTCCTGCATTTCCGTGGTCACGGAAATGCAGCGGGAGCTGGACTCCCATCTGCATGTTTATCTGATAATTTGTGGCAGTTCTTAATACGGCAGGTGACTTTAGAGCAAAGGCACGGGTATAACTCACTGAACTCCAGTAAGATTATGTATGCCTTTTAACCAACTTGCAATATTCAGCCTTTGTGTGCTTACCTTGAATCATATGGGCATGGACAGTTGCCACATGATTTGTATTTTAAGCTTTTTGAATAAACATTTTAGTACTAGAACTATTTCTAAAGATACTATTTATGAAAAGTGGATCTGTTTCAAATCAACCAGAATACATATTAAAACATGTTAAAATGTGATTAATATGACAACACCACTTTTTGAAAAGGTTTGACAAACTGTTACTGTAGCCGTGTGAATTAAATACCATTCAGGTGCATGGGCTAATGGGTGCCTATCTGCAGATGCATCAGCCCAGTTGGTGTTCAATCTGCACATAGACACACTTTCCCGGATGTCTACGGTATTCATTCATTTCAGTGGTAATCTTTGCATAGGTCACTGCACGGCAAGTCTCACTGTGCAGAAGAAAGCTGCATTCAGTAAGAAGAGATGCACTGTGCAGTGACCTATACAAAGATGTAATTGCAGATACCCATCTACTATGTCATATTCAATAACCAACAAATAATTGAAATATTTTTTTTTCAGTTAACCTGACTAAAATATAATTTAATTGGTCAGCATGGTCTTTGCTTTCTGGCCATTTATTGTTCCTAATGCTTTGTTAATATCCCTTGCAGAAGCTACTCTGCCACCACCTGTAAAGACCGGTAAACTGAAACTTCCACTCATATATATGTTTCCGCTTTAACCATATCACAAGTTCATCATGTCCATTTTTTGACAATGCTGCATGGCATCTTCTGATTATTGTTTTCTATATGCATAGTTTAAAGGGGAAATACACCTTTTAGGATAAGACATACATGTTGCAATCTACAGTATGCATTACTATTACTATTACTGTTAAATGCTAGTGTCAGACTTAACAGAGGATTATGTGCTGCTCACTAGTCTTAGTGTGCACCTGTAATGTTGACATGTACATGATTTTCTTGCTTTCTATACCTACCTGTCATCCTGGGAGTGAGGTCATTCATGCATAAGGCTCAAACCCCCCTCAGTGCACTGTATAAACTTGTAAGGTCAGCTCTGTGGAATTACAAGATTATGTAAATAGTGGGGTGAGCAGATTGCCGCAAACAGTGGGCTGGCAGCAGTTTATCATTAGGGAACTGGTGTAATTGCAGGAGGATTGGAGGTCTCCCATACACGTTTCAAATCAGTCAACAGTCATTGTATTTCTGTTGGTAACTAAATAACGCAAAGTCAATAGGAAATGTACACAGAATGTAATATGTATGTGTATTTTTTTTTGTTAATAATGGGAATAATAACCAAGCTATTTATGCCCCAGCCAGATACTGCACAATGCCACATTTGTAAATGATTACTAATATCTCTAATTGATGGTATTCACATCTTCAGTAATTGAAAGCACAGTATACTCTTGCTGATTACTGAGGAGTTAATAGCTGACCAGGATCTTCACATACAACAACGGCATCCCACACTTATTCTCTGTTACTGACACCAATACTTCCCCTTTAATGAAACCATCTTTTCTTTGATAAATATAATTGGTTATGTTTGCATGGCTTATGCTGAAATGAATAGGTTCATTTGTGCTCATGTATGTTTCTGCTGCCAGATATAAAAATGGCATTTAGTTCGTAGTTGTGTTGTGGTACTTATTGTGTTGTACAGTGTGTTAGTTGGAGGTCTGGTGTTAATAGTGTTACTGTGGAGTTGACCTTTCATTTTGTATGTGATTGCTGTCATGAGTCATATTATGCATTATTACATACATTAGGCATTTGTTTGAAGAGTAAGGCAAGGTGAATCACTCACCATCTCTCTGGGAGAATATGGTGGCAAAAAGCAGCGTTGGTGGGTAGATTGTGCAGCTAGGCAAACTTGCACTCCAGCCCTCCAGCTGTGGCTAAACTACAAATCTAGTCATGCCTCTTGGAGTCATGACTGTGGCTGTCAGAGTCTTGCAGTGCCTTGTGGGATTTGTAGTTGCACCACAGCTGGAGGGGCAGAGTTTACTCTGCCCTTGAGAGTATAAGGGGAAAAAAGTGAAACACCAGGCAAATCCCCAGTTTACATACATACACTGTATTGCCAAATGTTTGTGAACACACGGCCATCACACCTATATAAGCTTACTGGATTTCCAAATGCAAAAACATTGGCATTTAAATGGATTTTCTCCCCTTACTTTTGCAGCTATATTATCTCCCACTCTTCTGGGAAGGGATTCAGCACGATTTCCTAGTTTGTCTGTGGACGTGTGCTGGCCATACTCTGTAAGAATTTCAGCTGGTTCTTGATGAACCGGCCGAAATTTGTTCACTGGGTGCCCCTGTGTGCCAATCAGCTGCCGTCACAGTTTGGGTATTCTTACAGCAGCACGTCCACTGCTAACTGCAAATGACAGCGTGAGATGCTGTTAAGCATGGATGGAAAGAATGTATTCTAAATTTTTAATTCAGCCCGCAGGTTGAATGAAAATAATATAACAATGTATAGCCAGCTTAAGAATTATCATCCCTGTCCAGTTAGCAGGGAGGTGACCTAGGAATCCATAAAACTGAAACAGGAAACAGTAATGGTTATCCGTCAGTAGCAGAATGACTAACAGAGGTGTGTTTATTACATGAATGGGTGGCCAAATCGGCACATCCAATAACATGTAAAAAAATATATCTGTTTGAGCTGTGTGTCTACCTGTTTTATGGTGTACCACTTTAAATTCTCACGCTTCCTCATAAAACAGAATCATTGGGTTTGATGGAACTTGGCCTTTGAATTACTGCGACAGTATGGGTCATATGCATGAGTGCAGGTAAACTGTAAAAACAGGAACTTATCAAACAAAACAGAGTAGCAGACACCGTGCATATATACACTGGTACTTAGCATAGTGTGGAGCAGATGACTGGAAATGTTCTAGCTTTTAATAATGCAGAATTCAATTATTGCAGACTTTGCACTGAGCGCAGCATGAAGTTTTGCTTTATTTATGGCTGCAATGAAAGCTACACAACATTTTCAAATGTATTTCTCTACAGAAGCGTTGTCTTTCTTATCTGCCAGTGTCATGTATCTTTGGCCTGCCACTGCTGTCATCTACAGTGTAATGACTGGCTGCATGTGAATGGGCTCGCTCGTTTTTTTTTGCTCCACATGAATTAGTAGATATGCTTCAAAGATTCTTTTCTGGCAGTGCTGCTAATCTTCCTCAGTTATTACAGGATACAGCATATTTACACTATATAATGGAACATTTGACTTTCAGATCGGCCAGAGGCATCTTCTGATTTGGAATTGACTGATCCTCTTGAAAAGAGTGTGCAGCTCTCATGGGTGCCAGGAGATGACAATAACAGTCCTATTACCGGTAAGTTAATATCAAATGCTGCTGTAACTCCCCCATTTCTCGCCTAGTTAGAAAATAACCTACTATTTCAACTATGATATATACTAGCTGGGAATCCAGCACTTTCTACAGGCTGCTCTGAACTTAATGTACAGCAGCTACATTGGGCAATAAAATATAGTTGTATGAAATAGTCTATTATATGTTTGTCATTTTTGCTATTTTTAATGTAATCACTAAATAACAGTTATCATATACAAACAGATAATATTTAGCTTTCTTAAACATTATTTTGTCTATAGAGTTTATTGTTGAATATGAAGATGGCATGCGTGAACCAGGCACCTGGCACCTCCAGACCAAAGTTAGCGGTACACAAACTACAGTCTCTCTGACTCTTTCTCCTTATGTTTACTACTCCTTCCGAGTGATTGCTGTTAATGAAATTGGGAGAAGTGACCCCAGTGTACCTTCTGAACGCTATATAACAAAGGCTGCAGGTTTGTAAAATACAAGTCTCATTTCACCTTAGTGATGCTGGAAGTAATATGTTTAGTTGTACTGTTTCTTTGCCTTCATCCATAGTAGTACCATTCAGACCATGTTCTGTTTAAACCAGAGCTGCAGCCAAAATATACGGTATATTATTCTTTAGTTTGTGAATAGGCTTGTGAAGAGTAAGTACCGCTGTAAAGTTTATTTTGCCGTTTGTGATTTCACCCTAATTCCTATCCTTTAAAAAGCCTATGACAGCAGAACAAGATATAAGAGGAGTGGGTATTACCAGAACCCATTAATAACTTGGCAGTGGTTTTAAACCTTCTCTGTTTTACTGAATAAAGTGTTTTGTTTTAGCCAGTCTTATTACTGGAGAGATTTCCCATCATTAGAAATGTGTGCAGTGGGAACACATGCTGCAAATAAGAACCTGGCAGAGTTTTTTCTTTCCTACTTCATGGTGCCGGAAATTAAAATATATCTAAAGTCAAAACAATAGTTAAAATCAAATTTGTTTTGTTGTTTTTTTTTCCACTTGTCCGCTGGAAGAGAAGTCCCATGTTACAGTTGTCACCAGAAGAAGTGTTCCTATTTTAAAATCTCCTCTCTTTTTCCAGTTCTGGTGACAAATCTAAATTTTAGATTTAGAATAGAGAGGCCAAATCTTCCCATATGGGTCATGGACAGCAATAAAACCCCCTCAGAGGTTCTAACTATTCCCTCTCTTTCCCAAAAAAAAAGAAGGGGGCTTTAAATACAGTTAAAACATTTTGTCTGGAGCTGAGATTTGAAGTTTAGAACAACTTGATAACAGCTTTCTAAATGTGAATCAGAACACTGGCTAAATGGCAGAAGGAGAGGAGAAATTATACATTTTGAATTTCACCTTCTGAACTACTAACTTTGAAGTGTCCACATTTACAAAGCCGTTCCCATACTGTATGTGATGATGTCAGAATGAGAGTTGTGCTATAAAAAAATAGCAACGTAGCCCCCATATTTCTATCTGAATGGGTTTTCTTTGGTCACTTTTGCCTGATGAAGGGGTTCTTTTAGTGGCTCTTAGGCTTTGTTCACACCGAAAGCGTGTGCGTTCCAGAGCGGTAGCTGCTGGAACGCACCGAGATTGCTGTGAAAATTCCCCCCGCGTTTTGAGGCGGGAGGGGGCGTGGCGGTGCATTGTATAGAATGGCACCGCTTCCACGCCCCCCCGCCTGCTTGCACTATTTTTTGCGTTTGCAGTTAAGCGGAACGCTGGCAAAGTTTTGCCACGTGTTCGATCACACTGCAGGGGGGGGGGGCGTGGAAGCGGCGCCATTGAATACAATGAACCGCCCCAAAACGCGGGGAGAAATTTCACAGCGATCGCGGTGCGGACACACACGCTTTTGGTGATAACGAGCTCTTAAACATTGCCTATTCTATATGACAAATAAGTAACTTATCTTGAGCATTTCAGTGTGCGGCTTACCTAACATGTAAAAAATACATAACTAAATTATTTAATTTTAACATTTTCAGAGCCTGAAATAAACCCTTCTCGTGTTAAAGGAGTTGGTACAGAGCCGGATAATTTTGTAATCATTTGGAACGTAAGTATAATCAACATTGTTTTCAAAGGTGTTCGTTAGAAAATGTTTAAAATTTAATATAGATGGAGCATGATCCCCTAAATAAACAATATGCTTGAACACATCTAGAGCTGGAGGAGGGTGTCAAAGTTAAAGGGATCAGAATAATTGCCACCCTGAAAAACATGCATACCAGCTTAACCCAAATAGTCATTCATAATCTGCTCTTTTTTTGACAAGACATTGTATAATCCGAGATATATAAGTCCATAAATATATTTGGACACACACACATTGGTCATTTTGGTTCGTTAGCTAGTCAAGTTATTGTCTCTAAATAACTGTTACCTTTTCACACACAGCCTTTAAGGGGTTTTGACTCCAATGGACCTGGTCTCCAATACAAAGTCAGCTGGAGGCAGAAGGATTTTGATGAAGAATGGACATCTGTCACAGTCGCCAACGTTTCCAAATACATAGTGTCTGGTACACCTACCTTTGTTCCTTATGAAATAAAGGTTCAAGCATTAAATGACCTTGGGTATGCCCCTGAGCCGGCTGTTGTAATTGGACATTCTGGAGAAGATCGTAAGTCTCTAAGGTCTTTAGAGTGACCTAAAATATATCTTTTTAAAAACAAGTAAATTAATCTGCTGTGTACCGCAATGCCCACTTGTTTAATATTTGTCTTCTGTGTTTAGTTCCCATGGTTGCTCCTGGTAATGTTGAAGTAGAAGTCATTAATGCCACTTTAGCAAAAGTTCAGTGGGAATCGGTCCCTCTCACTTCAGTCAGAGGTCACTTGCAGGGATACCGGGTGGGTATTTTTTAATGTTTTTTGTATGCTGCTTTTATGTTGGCAAATGCAGTTAAACGGAACGCTGGCAAAGTTTACTCAATATTCTGCAGTTACTCAATATTCTGTCTATATGAAAAGATTTGCAGTCTTGACAGGTAATAATCTGGTCTTACTGTAAGAGACAATACGTTTTTAGTAAAATGTCTGCCAAATTACCAAAATATAGCCATACATTTATGAATTTATGACCTGCTTTGTATGTTCCATGTGTTATCCAAACTTTCATTTGTTCTTTAGTGATTAACTATTGATTTTACAGTATACATTATACAGTAAACAAATAAGAGAGCAGAGGTAGCCATCAGTGAAAAATGCATGTCAAAACTGTCAGTTGATCCAGAGACATAGGTAGCTGAATTTAAAAACAAATCCCAAGTATTCTGGTAATAGTAAAGCTTGTATCAACCCCTCTTCCCATTTGACCCCCTTTTGGTCAGTAAGACAACCCATCACATCAAGGGGTTGTTCACACCATGTCCATTGAGCTGTGTTTTCCTGCACACATTGTGAGAGAATTGTTAAAGTGTCCAAACATAGGGGTCTATTCACGAAGCAGCCGAAGGATCTAGCCACAGCTTCGGCCAATCCTTCGGCTAGCTTGGGCCCCAGGACCCCTTCGGTTCAGTAGAACCGAAGGGCTGCTCTACGGGCTATTCACTATAGCCCGTACAGCTCCTGAACTTGGACAAGCGGCTCAGTCGAGCCGAACGCATATGCCTCGACTCGGCTGAGCCGTGCTGAAAGCCGAAGCTGGCCAAGCGGCCGGCCGACAGCCTGCTTCTGACAGCTGGGCGGAGCCACGGAGCGCCTGGGAGAGGTTTTTTTTTTCTTTTTTTGACGGCAGCAGAACCGCCGGACAATAGAAAACTGTTGGGCGGAGCTAGCTGTCATTGCTAGCCCCGCACAATCGTTTTCTATTTTTTTTGTGTGCTTTTTTAACTATTTTTCTGTTCTGTTCGGTCCCTCTGAGGGACCGAGCAGAACAGCCGAGCGGCATTCGGCTATTCACTCACTGCTGTTCGGCATCTATAAGAATAGAGCGAACAGCAGCGAGTAGTCTGTCGGAGGTTCGGCTCAGCTGATCCAGATGTTGGATCGACTGAGTCGAACTCCTTCTGCACTTCGGGTCGGCTGGACATGCTGAGCTTGTTCGGCCGACCCGAAGCCACCCGATGTACGGCTGATTTCAGCCGATATCCGGCTGAAATCAGCCATACCAGCCTGAAGTGAATAGCCGAACAGCGTTCGGCTCACTTCACTTCAGGTCGGTCTTTCACTCGGCTGCCTACGGCAGCTTAGTGAGTAGACCCCTTAGTGCAGGGGTGCCCATTAGGTAGATTGTGATCTACCAGTAGCTCTCAAAGCTGATGCTCGTAGATCACGAAGGGTGTGAATGGCAGCCCCTTTATTCCATTTTGGTATATTTATTTAGCTGTGCACACATGATTACCATCTCAGCCTGAGTCTGCTGAGCCAAGCTCGCTGACACCTTTCTGGTGGTTGAAGTGCTATGTATTACATCAAAGAATATTAGTTTACACAGCCTATTGCACTACACTTGTCAAAATAAAGCAAGGTGAGCCCGGAGAGAGAGCGAGGAAAGAGAGAGAGGAGAGACAGCCAGGAAAGAGAGAGAGGAGAGACAGCCAGGAGAGAGAGCAAGGAGAGACAGCCAGGAAAGAGAGAGAGGAGAGACAGCCAGGAGAGAGAGCAAGGAGAGACAGCCAGGAAAGAGAGAGAGGAGAGACAGCCAGGAGAGAGAGAGAGTGAGGAAAGACAGCCAGGAGAGATGAGCAAGGAGAGACAGCCAGGAGAGTGAGGAGAGACAGCCAGGAGAGTGAGGAGAGACAGCCAGGAGAGCGAGGAGAGACAGCCAGGAGAGCGAGGAGAGACAGCCAGGAGAGAGAGAGCGACAGAGGTTTTTTTCGTTGGTAGATCTCACGTAGCTCGTCATTTGAAAAGTAGATCTTAGCACAAAAAATTGTGGGCACCCCTGCCTTAGTGTATAGATCACAACCATTTTATATGCTTTACACTCCACACTAATCCTCTCTCTTCTTCTACACGCTAACCTCCCTTTTCTCTCTATCATGTACACAGATTCCTATATTCTTTCCTTGAATTTTCTTGTCTTTACCCAAGTTATAAAAAATTGCAACTTAATTTCCTCTTTTGAACTAAAAGTGCATGTTAATGTAAACATTAAAACTCTAGTATATACCCATAAACTGGAACAGCTTGCAACACAACTTTGGGTGCTTGTGCATGCATATTCTCTCACTGCAGTAATATTATACAAATGTAATTGGGAGACACTAATCAACTCTTATACACCTTTTGCGGTGTGAAGATACAATTCTTCGACACCACAATTATTATCTATGTGCCCTATTCACACCGCACATGTGACGTGGTGTGCAGGTAAACCCAGCTCAATGACCGTGGTGGGAACAAGCCCCCAAGGACCAATATGGATGCCCAGGGGGAAGCTTTTGCAGGTCTAAGCTTGGCTGTTAGATGAAAAGTTAAGATTTATATATTATTTTAGCTACCTAAATCTTTGTTTATAGTGATCATTTTGACATATACAGGGTTATCCACTAAAGGGTGAAGAGTTTGAATAAGACAGGAAGGTGAACAACTAGGACAACATAGCTGAACTGGAAAGTGAGCTGAATAGGAGATTTTTTTCCAATCAGCAATGTTATCCTAGATTGTTCCCTTCTCCTGCCTTCTCCAAACTCTTCACCCTTTAGTGAATAACAATGATAGTATTCACTCAAGGTAACTTTTGTTTATTTGTTTTTTTTCTATCATACATTCAGTTTGCATAACCCTTGTTAGTGAATAGTTTATTTAATTTGTTTTCTATTTTTTTCCTGCCACCCAATTTCATATTGCAGGTCTACTACTGGAAAGCACTAAACAGAACAAACAGAAATAGAAGACACATTGAAAAATGGATGCTGACGTTTGCTGGAAACAGGACCCATGGGATGCTTCCTGGATTACAGCCAAATACAGACTACATCCTTAATGTGAGAGTTGTCAATGGTAAAGGTGAAGGCCCTTCCAGCAAGGACAAATACTTTGAGACACCAGAAGGAGGTAATTAATTAAATACATGATGTGATAACTGAAAAAAGACAAATCCACTGATCCATTCCTGCAATTCAGTTACCTAAGGTTGGATTCACCATTGTGCATATCAGCTGATATTGGCATGGTAAGATGGCTGTAAGCATGTGGACCCCAGCTATGTTAATACCAACTCCTATACCCTTCAGCAGTGGGTCAGTGTTTTAATGGGAGGACCTTAAAAGAAGAAGTCTTTTCTCTCAAAACATAAGCATAGTGATGGTGAAAACGTGCACACAACCTGTGCTCCTCCAATTCAGTGTAGGAATGTGGGGAAGGTAGTTCATGTGCTGCATACCTGCCTAAGCTAAATTGCTTCTCTTTTTAGAGTAGCACTATTCTACTGCTGGTGAATATATTAAGGTTATTGGTTTACCATGACCCAAGTGAAAGTAAAGAAGGATCCTGACGTAAATGGCTCAGAGTCTCCATTTATTTTAAAAACACCTAAGGATAGAAATGGGTTTGGAAAGCTCCCCCAGCTGTTTAACCATAGACCTTCAGTCTCAGAGTAACTCTCACAGAGATTAATTATAACTTTAGCACATGATTCTAAACAGTTCAAATTCTTGAGTTTACACTGTTTGGCTTTGATTAATCAAAATCATAAATGTATTTTCTAAATGACTACTGCCATATTTGCAGATGTCGGGTCCCTGCACTGAACCAATCAGTCTATTTTGCATTGCACAATGCTACCAGCCTAACATGGTTCAGGTACTTGGAGCTCAAAGGAAATGTTTTTAGGAAGCTTCATGGAGGGCATCAGCAGTTTGATCGGTCCTGTGAGCAGACATAGAAAGTTGCAAAACTGGTATAGGCAGTAACAGTACAATCCTGCTGGCTATGCAGGGGTATATAAATAACAAAACTGGATGCTCTGCAGGCAAAGTACTCAGATATGTATTTAATCATGTGTTTACCTGATTGGTGTTTTCCTTTAAATAATTGATAGCAAACATGATTAAAAATGTTTACTAATGTATGAACTAAATAACCTGCCAGAGAGTGGAGCTCTTCTAGAATCCCACACTCCACTTGTTTTATTTCATTGATTGGTCAGGAAGCCAGGCTGCTTAACATCATGTGAAGCCGACTTCCTAGCCAATCAGGAAGCTGGGCGCCACGTCATGATCCTCCTCCCGGCTTCCTGATTGGCAAGGAAGCTGACTTCACTTGTTCCTAGGCAGCCTGGCTTCCTGACCAATCAGGGAGGCGGGTCATTACGTGCCCCCCAGCTTCCTGATTGGTTAGGAAGCCAGGCGGCTTAGCAACACGTGAATCATAACCCACCGTCCAGCTTCCTGATTGGAAAGGAAGCCTGCTCCATACTCCCTCTGCACTGCTGGTCAGAGGGAGGTCTCCCTCTGACTGGAAGTTCCGGTATCGGAGGTAAGTATCGGAGCATTTGGGTGAGTATGAGTACCTGAAAAAAGCAATAGCGGCGCCCCCGGTTTGCAGAGAAATCCGGCTGTAAAGTTCATTGGTACACCATAGAGGCAGCTCCCACCGGTCAACAACGACCATCGATCTGGGAAACAAAAGCAACACAGAGCGCCTCCATAGTGTAAAACTTTTATTTGATGAGTACAACACGCAAGTGAAAATGTACTTACACGAAAGCCAATGATCATAAGCGTAAAAGGAAACGATAAAATATAAAATCTCCAGCAGGGGAAGTCTGAGGGGATCTCCAAATCAGCGTCCTCTGCTCCCGTATGTTTTAAAAAGGTCTACGCGTTTCAGGGGCACGCCCCCTTCATCAGAACCTGATGAAACATACGGGCGCAGAGGACGCTGATTTGGAGATCCCCTCAGACTTCCCCTGCTGGAGATTTTATATTTTATCGTTTCCTTTTACGCTTATGATCATTGGCTTTCGTGTAAGTACATTTTCACTTGCGTGTTGTACTCATCAAATAAAAGTTTTACACTATGGAGGCGCTCTGTGTTGCTTTTGTTTCCCAGAGTATGAGTACCCCCTAAATACTGGGCGTCGGCACCGATAATGATACTAGTATCGCTAACGGTGCATGCCTAATTGTGGTCAGTAGTAACAATGCCACATACATATTTTTTTTAAGCATTTTGGTAGAAGTTGCTGAGCTAGGGACACACTCATTTAATCTTATACAACCATTCCGGAGCCCTTTTTAAACCTCAGTGCTCCTTTAATTGTTGTTTACATTGCTCAAGGGACTGAAGCTCTTTCCCTGCAAGCTTTGTAGACCATTAGACTGTATGATCTCCCTGGCAAATGATGCTAGAGGAAATTAGTGATTACAACTTCTGGTAAAACCTGTTAGACAATATGGATTTTATGTTCTGCAAATTGACATTGTTATAAAAAAATATATATTTAATATGTTGCATTAACCTTAGTAGATCATTTACAAGAAGCACATGTTGTTTTCACAGTTCCTAGTATGGCATTTGTACAAATTCATCATCGAACTTCTGATTCCCTGACTTTGACGTGGAATCCCCCGCCCCATCCAAATGGAGTCCTGACACAATATACTCTAAAGTATCAGTCAAGTAAGTCGAGAAATCTGCATTTTTTAAATCTATCTATATAATTCATACACTAGACCTGTCACATATGCATCCTAAATAAAATATGGACATAGGACAGCAGAGTATTCCATCAGAAAAACTTAAGGAATTAAGTGGAGTGTTCATTCAGAATAAGTAAAGGAATTTAGCTAAATTATATCGCATATGTTTGCAACACTATTTTTAAGGATAACATGTAGGGATGCACCAAAATATCGGCCGCCAAAACATATCGGCCAAAAATTGCACTTTTGGCTAAATACCAAAAGTGCAATTTTCCAGCCGATACATCGACACATCCGAGGTTTCTTTCCTCTCGCTGGCCGCTGCTCTGTGTCCCAGCGGGGAGGAGAGAAAGTGACAGCCGGCCGAGTGCTGTGAGAGGAGACCACTGTGAGCGGCCGGTGTCTCTCCTCCCACACCGCTCAGCCGCCTATCACAGTCCGGCAGAGCGGTGTGGGGGCGGAGACAGGCTGCGCTGTCACAGGAGGCGGAGCTCTCCTCCCTGCTCTGCTCGCTCAGCCTCCTGTGACAGCGTGTCAGAGAGGAGAGCAAGTGCAAGCACCCAGCGATCATTGATCGCTGAGTGTTTGTAGATAATTGAGGACATTGTATGTATACTGCATCCTCAATTATGAATGAATAGGGGTGAGCTACATCACCTCCTGTTCATTCATAGTTGTAGTTATAGTAATCATACTATATTCTCAAGTTATCAATGAACAGGAACACTCATAGAGGATTCCTGTTCATTTATAACAGGGGATACAGAAAAAGAGATTGAGGACTCTGTGTTCTCAATCTCTTTTTCTATTTTAAAAGGGATAAAGAGCAGCGGTGTGCGCGGCTTCTGTGTCCTGTGCGGTGGGCGTGGCTTCTGTGTGCTGGGCACGGCAGGCGTGTGTGACGTGTGGCTCAGGCCGTGTGTGGAGCCCTGAACAGGCTAATCAATCAATAGTCGACAAATCAACTTTCGAAAACGTCGACAACGTTTTCGATCGTCGATTTTAATCGACTTAATCGATTAACTGTTGCAGCTCTACTTGGTTTAAATAATATTTGGAATTCTACATTTCATAAATTAGGTCTCATTAAGGCCTCATTCACACTATGCAATTTGGGATTCCTGCAGCAGCTACTTATGGATTCTTGCTGCAGGAATCCCAAATCTCTTGTTTACATGCAGACAATGTACATTTGTGATGATTACATGCAGTTTGGAATGGATGATTGTCGCTGGAGGCAGGATAGATGCATCATATATGATGGTGTCTTACACCTGGTGTCCTAGCAACCAACTACCAGCTGACAGGGAGGGGATAGGCAACAAGTAATTGGTTGGTTACTAGAACCGGCCAGCATCATTGGTTGGTTGCTAGGACCGTCCAGCATCCTAGCAACCAGCCAATGATTTATTGCCTCCCCACCCTTCCCCGCATTCAGCTCTGCACCTATCTCCTTCAGTGAGGAGCCTGCCTGGCCACCTCCCCCACTCAGCCGTACTGCCATGTGCTGTCCAGCTGACTAAGCTTACTGTCATAGGAGGGGAAGTTCCACCCTCCTGCACCAGGAGTTAGCTGATTGGCTGACTGGCAAAACATCTCCCTCTTCTCTAGCATGTCAGACACAATGTCAGACATCCCAACCTGCAAAACCTTATTTCAGGGAGGTGCCCTTTCTGGTTTTTTTTTGTTTTTTTTACAGCGGCCGCCGTCAGAATATAAAAGAAATAATAAAGCCCGGGTTGGCATCGGCAGCAGGCACCAGCTGGTTGTTCAAATATGCTACTAAACCCTAGACCACCAGGTAACGGAGAATGGAGCCATGATTCATTATAGTTGAATATACTGGATCCCATTTGTGACAATGGATAAGATTATACAAGCTTTAGGTGCAGAGTTTTGTTATTGTTATGACATTCATTCTGGTGGTGGCAGGAATATGATGTCATTCAGTGGGTGGTGTTTTACAGTTGTTTTCCTTGTTTTTTTAGGTTAACAACACTGGGTATTTAAGGATGTTTAGCAATTTGGGTTTCTAACACTTTGTCTGATCAAGGGATCCTTCGAGGTTCTGAAACGTTGCTTTTTCAAGTCATGCTGAGGGAATAGCATTTGACATGATACTCTAAAGATTTTGGAAAAGGGTGCAATTTCAGTGCTTGCCACAGGTTCTATTTTCTGTAGCTATGCTTCTGCACATGGTTATTGTCATGGTTTGTCCTTGCTGCTGGCTACAGTGACTAAGTCACCTTCAGCCTTTATATATTGTTCCTGCTGTCAGCAGCTGCGTTGTAACCCACGTTTTCTACCTAGTGTGTTTACATAAACTGCCTCAGTTGCAGCGCAACATGCTGGTACCCAAGTGCAAAGAAAGCAGTCCTATGGGCCTCTACAGCTCTCCATTACATTACAGCTATGTGATGGCTTCCAGTGCCCCTCCTCAGGAACTTGACACTGATAGAGTGGATCAATGCATTGGTACGGGTCAAAGTGTGCAGGGGCTAAAAGCTAAAGGTCCATTGTCTACCTTCACCCCATTTTATGTTATCAAACCTACATGTGTCTTCGCACAGGCTAGGTCCCTAGGGAACCAGCTTCTTTTCATACCAAGTTTTACCAAGTGGATGTTCAGGCCTCAGGTGATGCAAGCTTCAGGCATAAGGTCCTTCAAGCATCTCTTCAAGTTGTAGATTGATGGCAATTTTTACACTACCCCTCAGTTAGACTGCTTTTGGACGTCCCAGTTATCTTTAAATCACTTCTAATCCTGCATCCCTTAATGAACAAGAAAGAAAATAGGATATTGAACTTACTTTAAAATGTGTTAACCGATTGAACACTTTTTTGGCTTCATATATACATGTAGATCAAGTGGGTTTTATAGTGGGACGCCAAGGCCCGGACCAGATTAGGAGGGCGGTGGATATTATCTCCCTGCTGCAATCCAATTGGGATGGTGGACCCCGGCAGGAGGGCATGTTGTTATCCGTTGACTTGCAAAAGGCGTTCGATTCGGTTTCCTGGCCTTATATGTTCACTTTATTGCGGCAATGGGGCTTTGGTCCGTTTTTCCTTCGGCTGCTGCTTACTCTATACTCTAACCCATCGGCTCGGATTCGTATTCAGGGGCATCTCTCTGAACCCTTTGATATTTGCACGGGCACCCGACAGGGATGTCCCCTATCGCCATTGCTTTTCGCAGTGGCGATAGAACCCCTCGCCATTGCCATCCGCAATTCAGCTAATTGTGCACTTTTTGCGGATGACTTATTGCTTTTTGTTAAATCTCCCCTTATATCGGTTCCCAATGCTCTAAGAATCTTAGATGAGTTTGCAGCGGCCTCTGGACTTAGGGTCAACTCTTCTAAGTCAACGGCTCTCGATGTTAACATGCCCCCTGACATCTGGACCCACCTTATCCAAGCCTTCCCGTTTACTTGGTCAAATGACTGTTTACAATATCTGGGGAGTTAAACTCACACCGTCCTATTCGTCCCTATATAAATGCAATTATGTTCCACTATATAAACAATTAAAAGCAGATGTAGACAGGTGGTCCTCTTGTACCTTTTTGTGGATTGGGTAAAGATGACCCTCTTGCCAAAAATATTGTACTATTTTAGAGCACTGCCTATAGCTATCCTTAGGGCTGATCTGTTGTCTTTCCAATCATACCTTATGTGGTTTATTTGGGGCCAGAAATCCCAGAGACTTTCTAAAATTATCATGCACTCTCCTAAAGACGTTGGAGGTTTGGGGGTCCCTAATTTAATGCTATACTATAGGGCGGCTAAATTGGCTCAGTTATCTTCTGTATACTTTCTAGGATACCAGCCGGATTGGTTGGCCCTAGAGTCGGCCTCGGCATCTGGTACACCGGTGGACGCTCTTATGTGGACCACCCCTAGACGTCGCCCGGTTGTCCTCGCGCCGACTCTTTCCTCCTTAGCTTTATGGGATCGTCTCTGGGGGCTTTATGACTTGACATCGACCCACACTCATCTGGCACCAATAGTCTGCAATCCTGCCTTCCCACCAGGTACTCAAGCACAAGCATTTCAGTGGTGGACTGATAAGGGTCTTTATCGTATTGGTCATTTTTTTAAGGACCGCCAATCCCTCACATTGATCTACTGCCTGAATACCTTAAATATGCCCCCCACTGAGATGTTTCGTTACAGACAACTTCATCACTTTTTGAAGTCTTTAGATCTTCCTCCAACAGATTCCCCATTTTCCAACACATATGAACGGTGGTACATGCAGTCAGATATGTCACGTGGAGGAATATCTCATTTATTTATCTTTTTTTAACTCCTCCTCCAAGCTGTCTTATATGTTGTCTTGGGAGAAGGAATTGCAGACTGAGTTGCCCCTGGACTTGTGGCATACATGCTGCTCCAGGTTAACTAAAGGACTGTTAAGCGTATCCCTGATATAAGGTCTTTTCGCATTGGTACATGGTGCCCGCCAGATTGGCGGCCATCTACCCTGGTCAATCGCCCATATGCTTTAGGGGGTGTGGTCTCACTGGAACAATGCTACATACTTGGTGGGAATGCCCACGCATCCGTCCATATTGGAACAGGCTTCATGCCTTGATATATAAGGTACTTCGCATCCGACCACCTCGTGACCCGCAGAATGTCTTATTAAATCGTCCAGTCCCTGGTTTTTCCAAGCCTGAAGCTGCACTATTGTCGTTCTTTTTTTTGGCTGCCAAAATTCCCCTAGCTCAGGCGTGGAAAACCCAAACCGTCCCGTTCAAACAAGTCATTTCTAAACTATCGTGGCTAATGATACATGAGAAATTGAATAGTATCATCAAAGATACTAGGGATACATTTGAGCGGATTTGGGACCCGTGCATGCAATATCTACATGTTTCTCAGTCTCCTTAGCCAAATTGTGTCGTCACTATATCACACTATACTTGCCATGTCCCGGATACTTTCTTGATCTTTTCTTATTTCCTTTCTT